CGTCAGTTTTGCTCAATTCTTTTGGTGCCTATGAGTCGTATTACTAAATTTGCAGGTTTTCCAACTATATAATGCTTATGTCTTATGGAATTTGTCATACAATTGCAGAGGGGAGTGGCAGGTTGGTTTATCTGATAAAATTAATGTTTCTATTTGTTTGTGTTGTTTGTCCGTGTGCTTGTTTACTTATGTTTTTTCTTCAGGTGCTGGCGCTAAGTTTCATGTTTTTACTTCTTGCTGTTGGCAATATTGTCACGACGAGCCTGGTGCTTCTGAAGAAACTGCGTTCCACTGGCTCGTACAATTACATCGTTGGTTTAACGGAGAAATATCGTTCGAGATCGAATTCGAAGGACGAATAAGGTGGTTTCGGTACTTTCAAGTGCAGAAGTAAACCCGACCTTGAAATCAGGTGGATGGATGAAGCTCTTCATCGTTTTCTGAATATTTTGCAGTTTTGTTTTCGATTTTGCTTCGGTTTCTTTTCCTGCCTTATGCCGAATAAGGTGTTTTTTTTCTGCATGTCAGATATCTCTTACTCTGCGAATGCAGTTGCCAATCTAAGACTTTTCCTCTTTTCCTGCATCTTTAGTGAACTCAATAATCTCAAAAAATCTTTACGCTGTATAAACTTGTTACTGTTTTAGACTTTGTGATAGGCATTAGACTTCGACCTGCATTTCATGACAAATTTGTCAATTCGTTCAGAATTTCAGTATGTTTTATGAGATTTTACAAATGTAAATACAGAGTTTATGTACTAGATCAGTACGCTGTCATTGTTGTGTTGAGTCTTCCAGCTTGGAAAACAAAGATTAATCAGGCTTTACAAAATCTATTTGTCCTAGCACGTTTTGACGTTCATATTTACGCAGTAGACAAACTCGTACTTTTGGGTGTCAGTCAACAAAACAATTTTGTTATGTGGGATGTAGCCGTATAGATGCGGTTAATTAGTGTTCTTGCGGTAGTGACAATATATGCGCGTAAACAGTGAGAACATGTTAGACTTTGTTTGAAAATCTCCTCTAGGCATGTTATGTGAGTGACTTCAGGGTGAATTTCATTTCCCGTATTGTATATACCAGCACTTTTTAATGTACTTTCAATCAATCAATAGCTTCAAAGTACATAACTGGTAATCGATACTTAAATTCGAGTTTTTCGACAAAGGCCGAGATCACACAGATACAAATATAATTAGTGAGCTCCTTCAACTTCTGATTGATGACTATGACTTCTGCTTGGTGGTTCACCCTTTGCACGATGACGACTATGATGACGATGTTTTGCACGCAACGGTTGTACACGATTTATTACATCTGAAAGAAAAATTATTAGGAACAGACAGTTCAGGCGAGGAGGGGGGGGGGGACTTTGGTGTCATTGACAGTACACAGGGACTGATCTCTAACGAAAAGTTCGATTTTGATAACAAATCATAACCAAATTTTCGTAATCCATTCGGGACCACAAAGCTCGAGCTGTCGCTATATAAAATTTAAGGTAGGCGCCATAGGCCCGCACCAAACTTGATCCGCTTGATCCACTTCGCTATTGGTCAAACGGCAAATTGACCAATGGCGAAGTGGATTAAGCGGATCAA